AGCTGAGGGGACTTCTAAGAGATACAACTACATCATTCCTTCAAGATGAGAGTCACTTTGGATTTAAGGATATATAAGCTGTGTCATTAAGAAACTGGATATTGAAGAGGAAGAACAGGGGAGGGAGGGAAAGTGCAAAGTGCAATAGAGAGCTAGAGAGAGAGAAAGAGAGAGAGAGAGAGACAGAGACAGAGAGACAGAGAGACAGAGAGAGGGACAGAGAGAGAGAGAAAGCGCGCACGTGGGCCAGCCAGAGGGCAAGCACAGGAGTGGTTAGGCTTACATCTGACAAAAATAAACTATAAAAACTGTGACAAATGGCAAAGTCATGATGTACTTATAAATGAGCCAATTCAAGAGAAGGATGTAGATATTATAAATATATCCTTAGTCGTCAGAAGGTGGTTCCAGGACCCAAAATAGATGCTCAAGTCTAGGAACTCAGATGGTGTCTACACATGCTATTAGCATAGAGATAACATGTACATCTCAAAACACCTCTAGATTTTATATAGTCCCTAATGCAACACAAAGTATATACAATGCTGTACTGTTTGCAAAATGATGGTAATAAACAAACCCTATTCATGTTAAGGTCAGAGACAATTTCTAATGTATCTTCATTCTGATCTTAAGTCTAATCCATGTATTACGAAACCTATGGATTAAGAGAGCAAATTTGATATGTACCAAACTTTAAAGTATATACATATATGCATATATACATACACATGCATATATGAATGTGGGTAGATGTAGATAGATAGCTGGAAGGATGGATAAATGGATACATAGATTGATACATAGAAGATTAATATGACAGACAGACAGATACATAGATATATGATACACAAACACATTGTGAAACCTGAAAGATCACTATAAATAAGAAATGATATACTGACAGTACACAGTTTTATTTACCAATAAAGCAACAAGATATAATAGTGGACTTAGATAATACACCTCATAGATGTGTACAGAGTATCCAATCTGATAGTAACAGATTTCACATTTTTTGTGAGCATGCTATCATTCTCCAGGTTGTTCTAGAGCATAAAACAAAATTTAAGAAACATAAGAAAACTAAACTCACTCAAAATATCTTATCTGAATACAATGAAACTAAACATCAGTTACACAAGCCAAATGGGAAAATTCACTAATATTATGCAAAATATATGACTCATAAGTAATCACTGGTTGAAACATTTTGTGAAGCATGAAAATAAACAAATTAATAACATGCAGCTAAAGTGGGCGTCACAGTTTGAAATTCACACTGAAATGTTATTCACAGTCCAAATGCTACTAATATTTGGAGGTAGGAGGTAGTTAGGGTTATGCAGAATCATCTGAATGTATTCACAGTGGGACTGGAGACTGTAAGAACATAAAAACAGACTCGCTGACATAGGATTTCCCTCAGTTTCTAGCGGTATCTGATGGTATGTTAAGAAACATCAGGGACATATACACAAGCAGACAGCTAGTGAATAACTTTCTGAAGCTTTCTTCTGTACATACTATTGGCTTTAGTCTAGGTTTGTTAAAGCAGCTGAAAATGGACTGACACAACGTGGAGTAGTGTTTAAAACAATAACTACTTGCACTAAAAAGAATCATCCCAACTATGCAACAAAAACTAGCACAAAATGATAAATACAATAAATTAAACACAAAATAAGCAGAAGGAAGGAAATAATAAATACTAGATAAGAAGTCTATGGAATACAGACTAAAATGCAATAGGAAAAAATATTAACAAAACATAGAAGGGGTTTTCTAAACTAAGGAAAATGAACAAATATCAAAATGAAGATGGGGAGAAATTAAAGAAAATAAACTCAAACATAAAAGATCATGTCAGGCTACTGTATATAACTATATGTCAACACACTGAGTAACTAGAAGAAATTGGAGTATTTATATAAACATGGGTATATTCCTAGAAACAATTTTGAGCTCATGGTACCAAGAAGTAATCAAATATAAATAGAAAACCTAATGAGACAAATAACAAACAGAGATACTGAATCAGTAATCAAAAGTCCCATGACTAAAAGCATCCCAACACTGGATTCTTTTAAAGATGAATTCTACCCGACATTCAGAAAACAGCATCCTCCTTAAACTCTTAAAAAATAGTAGAAAACATTTTATTTTTAATCTAGTTTAATTTATATTCCAAAGCTAAGATATCACAAAACAAAAATTACTCTCATATTTACAAGAAAACGGATGCTAAAAACACTTATAAACTAGTGGAAGGCTAAAATTGATACCACACTCAAAATATCATTCACACTGACCAAATTGTATTCTTATCAAAGTTGTAGTTAACTTTAATTGTAAACGTGTGTAGATTTGGACTTACTATGAAAAAAGACCTCTGGGTGTATCTGTGAAGATGTTTCCAGAAAGATTTAACTGAAGAGAGGGTATCCATAATGAACTGTGAAGCACTGCCCAATTGCCTGAGCTTTTGACTGAATAAAAGAATGAGACTTGAGAAATGCTCTTTCCTCTTTGATTCCTGACTATGGATGCAATGTGACCAGCTACTGCATGTCCTTCCCAATATGCCTTCCCCTACATGATAGGCTGTATCCTTTGAACAGGGAGTTAAACCCTTCCTTAAGTTGCTTTTGTCACAGCAATAACGAAAGGAGAGAAACTAACAGAAAAATTGGTACAAGGAGAGGGGTTTTGGTTGTGGTGAACCTGTTCATTAGTTTTGGTCGCCTTTGAAACTAATTTGTAGGAGGAATGTGAAAGAACTTGAATCTGCAAAATATGTGACTCTTAAACATGACGTTGTAGTATAGTTTATATTGACAATTATTACAGATAGCTCAGAAGACCACAATGCTGAGAGGAAAAACTGGATAGTGGAAGCCCTGCTCATGAAGTTTCAAACAACAGACTCTATATATGAAATGAGCTAGAGTATATTAAGGTGAATTCTGCCAAAGAATCTTCCTATGTTCTGCTCACAGCCTGAAAACTTAAGTCAACTAATAAGCAATATGCATATAACAAAAATAAATGGAAAAAGTCATGAATTTGAAATAGAGCAAGGGGAGATATATGGGAATTTGGAGGGGGAAAGAGAGAAAGAAATGATATATGTAATTGTTTGCTCATTTTGCTCTTAGGCTCCTTTGACTTTGATCTCACTCAGCTACCAAATGAATACACGGAGGCTTATTCTTCCTTATGACTGCGTGGCCTTAGCTTGGCTTATTTCTAGCCAGCTTTTCTTAACTTAAATTACCCCATCTACCTTTTATCTCTGGGCTTTTATCTTTCCCTATTTCTGTATACCTTTCTTAAGTTCTTGCTGGGTAACTTGGTAGTTTGCCACTGGAATTCTCTTCACCTCCTCCATTTCTTGATCCTCTATCTCTTTTCCCTTTTCATTCACTCTGTCTGCCAACCCTGACTATCCATACTCCTGTCTAGAAATTGGTGATTCATCTCTTTATTAGATGAATCAGGTGTTTTAGATAGTCAAAGTAACACGCCATTACAGAATTAAGTCAATGCAACATAAACAATGCAATTTAGCTTTGTATCATTAAACCAGTGTTCCACAGCATAATCAAATGCAACACATCTTCAACTAATATTCCACAACAGATATAATTACAAACAGAAAATGATAAAAAAGAAATAATATACATCTTTGTTTGCTATCCAAGTTGAAGGACAGAAATGGGGAATGTGTGAGTCAAACAGAACCAAGTCCGAGCATCTGAACATCTAATATGGGCTACATTTAATAATATTGTGCCTTGTACAACAGAAAATTATAAGTAGACTTTATGTAGATTAAGCCTACATAAAATTTATCCATTATATGGGATAATGGATATTCTAATTGATTTCTCTATATCCAAATATATTGGTATATGTATGTATGTATATAAATATATGTAGTTTTATACAATTATACATAATACAAAATACAAAATTTATTCATTGACCTATGCATTCTGTATTTTGTTGCCATTGTTGTTTTACTTTCGATGTATTTTTTGTAATATTTTAATTTATGGAGTACCTGTTTGGGGATATTATAAAATAGATGTATGTAACTTTTGTACAGTTATTTTAATTCTCTGAATCCAATTGAGAATTTTTTATTCTTCAATAATTTGAGGTGGTTTTCTTAATTAATTATCTTTTTGTTTAAATAAGGGATAGGTAGAGGTAGAAGAGGAGAAGAGTGGTATGTTGAGAAGGGGAAGTGGACATTTAGTGTCTCATTTCTCTTTATTACATTTTCTTTAAATAATATGGCCCTAGGCAACAAATTCTCTAAAATCTCAGGTTTTTCCCTTGTGCTCTGCCCAGGGTATGAGTACTGTGTAAGCAAACACTTCATGTGCATTTAGAGAGAGCATGTCTTTAGAGCAGGCTGCTCTTTTTTTTTCCCCCTGCTGTTTTCTGTCTAGATAGCCATTTTCCTGAGAGGTTCTGTCCTAGTATCATCTAAGGATATGCTTAGGATTCTAATCATCTAAGTCACGGCATCTTGTCTCTCAAGTCTTCCCTAATGACTCCTGAAAGTTCTTCTTTCCAAGTTCAGTTCCACATATGGCATTTATATTTTATTCAATATATTTTAATGTAGTATTTGAAATAACTAAATCACTGCCATCATTAGACAACATAATTAGATTTTAAATGCATACAAAGAAATAACATTAAATAATATGTAAAATAATGTAGAAAAGAATCTATTCTTAAAAGTAATAATAATTTTGTTTTTATTCAATTGATAAAAAATCACAAAAGCACTGGAAAAAGCAAATACATGAAGTATAGTCTTCCCTAGGAAGCAGGGTTATATTTGCTTTTCTTCCTAAAAACGTATAAGGTATTTCTTTATTTTTATATTTTTGTGAGTAGTATATATTACAGAAAACATATTCCTTAATAAACATACATAGCTATCTTTTTCTTTATTTCATTCGCAGACTCTCATTGCTTACCAATTTGCTTTCTGTACTGATCGACAGGAAGTTTTGTAGTGGAAGAGTCTTTTCTACCCATCTTTGATCTCCCAAATACCTGCTAAAGAGAAAGAAAACCATTATAATGAAAAACTATTAAAAATATCTGAAAACTCCCCCAAAGTTCCTTAGGATCATTTTGTTGAGTGAGTAAAATGCTGCTGACTTAACTTTTCACATATCTGCAAAGAAAACAAAAGGTTCAAATAAAACATCAGCTATTCCACTACTGTTGATAAAATCTTCATGCATTTATTATAGTTTACATTAATTTCATCAAGAACTAAGCTAAATTAAACCAGAATATTAGAGAATATTATCTGTAAATGACAAGTTTCTTTACAGTTATGCACTTTGTTACATTCAAATAGAAAGGTTTAAATATGTGAGTTGGACAGTTTGAATTTTATTTTAAATTGCCCCACAGATGTAGCCAAGGTGAGTAGATTTAGGCTCTTTTTTTGCCAGGTGTAATACACAGCAGAAAGCACGGACATGTACTCTTAGTCTCATTTATGCAGTATGTACTGCTTTATTTAATCCTTAAATCAGTTCTCAATTTCTAATTTTATTAAATTTAACTATCACACCAGAAACTAAACTCTTCTCACCAAATCTACATGTACTTTTCTTATTTTCAGTTAGACCATATTTCCTAGCTTTAGTTAAAATATGTAATTAAGTTCTTGCTACAGGAATTTGAAAAACTCACAAGCATGGCCATGAATTCTCTTTCTTTCCATATAATACATTGGAATGTACATTAGGCCCCCCAACAAATTTGTGAGATCTCACTTGAAAAAAAATTGATTATCTAAGGGATGGAGGAAGTATTTTCATAATTTATCATCCTTGAGAAAAGGATTCAAATTCTCTTGGGAGTTGATAGATATTTGTGGGTTATATTTAGTGAAATCATAAATGTTTACTGATACAATGTGACATTAGTTGCTGGAAGTTGCTCCTCATTCCTTTTAGTGTAGTTCTATGTGAAAAACACATGGTAAAGCAGGAAGTCAGTTTAGAATTAAAACTATAAAGGTCTCTTATTACTATTGTTGCATATATATATATATATATGCAAATATATAAATACAATCTGTCTTGTCTGTGTAGTGTGGCTTGAGTGTATACAGTTTCAGTACTGAGTACTTTGCATAATTGGGGGCTACATCCCTGGAGGAAGCTAACTCTCTCTCCCTGAGCAGTCATTAGCTGTCCATAGATCTTTGTGGAGAGGATGAAGGAAAGTAATCAGTGAAGCTACATAATTACGTTTTATTAACAATTAATAAATAAAATAATATAAAGGCACAGGAATTCCAAGAACCTGGGGCTTAAGATGCTGGAAAAGAGCCGGGTGTTGGTGGCACACCCCTTTAATCCCAGCTTTGGGAGACAGAGGAAGGTGGACCTCTGTGAGTTTGAGACCAGCATGATCAAGTTACAAGAAAGCCTCCAAAACAATACAGAGAATCCCTGTCTCGAAAAAATAAAAAACTAAAAATAAAAAGATGCTGGAAAAGATAATTTCTAAAATGTAGACAGGAAGAAAAACTGAAAAATATTTAAAACAAAGTTCAGCTAATTTTTCTCATCTGAGAGATGGTAGGGAGAGGAAAACGGAAAGAGAAAATAGAGATAGTGAGAAGGTGTGGTGAGAACGAGAGAGCAGAGGATGAGCAATATGTTGCCCTGAATCTATTTCTTCAGGTTACCTCGGAGAAAAAAAATATTGGATGATAAACAGAAGCCCAGAGTCCCAAAGAATAGACAAAGAGTATATGGAATTATAGCTAGGAAAGAAGTTGTGGCAAAATTATAGGTTCATGAACTCCCGGTGATGGTAAAAAGGTTAGCAAAAGATGAGGAACTATTGCATAAGGAAGCAGAAATTTTATATACAGGAGTGGGGGAATGAAAACAATCCGTGGTCCTCGTCCCCTGAACACACTGATGCTCTGGCGTGATGTCTGTGTCACACTGATGGAAGAGACAACCAGAGGAGGGAATCAGAGAGTAACACTCGGAGGTGCTCTTCTAAAATGATCATAATTTGCTTCAAACAAAAATTTTATACAGGTGATTCTAGAATAGATGAGGTTAATGAACGCATTTCATAGTCTGGAAACCTCAAGGAGCTCAGGACAGAGTTTGAGACAGGAAAATCTGTTCTAGCTTCTCAGGATTGGGCTGTATTACTCAAAGGGGAGCTGTTTTAGGCTCTAAATAAACTGACACAGATTTACCTAATGAGATTTATTAAGGGTTCTCACATACCAAGTATATCTGAAGTCTGTTCAAGTTCAACTACATTCTTTACATATCCTCACAGCGATGGGCAACAATGACCTCACTCAACACAGTGAAAAGACATCCCCAAGTAACAAATTTTACCCATGTGTAAGAAAATTATATGCCTATCTAAAGCTTACATGTTATAATAATAATAATAATAATAATAATAATCTTCAGGTTGATGGTATAACAAAATCAAGGAATATAAAATATCTACTGACAACAGAAAGACAAATAAATCATCTTTATCTCTAAGAAATCATGGAGTTATTATATCTAAGATGGCACATACTTAAAGTCTTCTAAATGAAATTAAAATATCATCCAATCCTATATACTCTTATTTGCTATAAATAAAAACATTAAAAAAGTTCTGTGAAGACAATCCATAAATAATGTCAATAGATATAATATATTCATACAGCAGTTCTATTTTGCATAGAGTTTGCATTTATTAATAGCAAAGTGGAGTCATTATTTTAATCTTAATTGTGCATCTATATCAAGAGAGAAGTTAGCTTACATGAATAAAACACAAGATAATATTCTTTCTTGAATACAGCTCTTTTTTCTTCATGGAATATGCTTAAGTTAAACACAAAAAAACACAGCAACCTGGTAAGTCTGTGTGTTAAATGGATATTCATTTTACTACACTTGCATTACACTTCCCTTCTCTTGCTGGTCATTTAACAAAAGTAACACTTATGAGGCAAGTCCTGTATTGATTCATTACTCAGAGCAATAAAAACAGCATCTTTTGACTAAAGGGAATGGGAATATATTCATTTCCAAATGTGATTTTCATAATATTATACAAAAAACTAGACAAATATAGGCATAAGTGTCTGTAGGCTATAATGATTATTTTATATACAAAACAAGAATTTCAGAGGTCTACAAAAAGGGCAAAAAACTAACTTTCAATTATTTTTAATTATTTCAGTGACTGATAATAATACTTGATCAGAATTTCAAAAATTCAACATTCTTCTTGTGTTTGAAATAATTCTTTTCTTTCAGCAATAAAAAAATCATTTAATCTAATGAGTAAAAAATAAAAACAAAAACCCTATGAAACATTTTGAACAGACTACATTTTGTTAGGTGTATGGTGAAAAGTATTTTACTCTATGATTCTATGTAAAATGATCTAAAGACATGCCTCTTCACCTGTATGGCATAAATTGTCAATGCTTCAGTCATCTAGATTTTCGAAAGCATTCTGACTTCTTTGCACTTCAAAGACTTGCAATAATTGTCATTCATTTCTATTGCTTTATGACCTGATAGCAAACTCCCAAGAAATCCATGGAGACATTAGCACATACAGCCATGATTTCTAATAAGATAGCTATTTGCATATGAGATCAGCTACAATTTAAAATGTGTTATGGTAGACACAGAAAGGGAATAACAGATTTATATTAGTGTGTACAATACCAATATCACATTCACAATTTAAATGAAGAGACTGTATTACCACCTTCTTCTATAGAGAACACTGCATTCCCTGAGGAAGTAACTTGCTTTGAGACCCAGCTCAACTAAAATATGGATTAATAAGCTACCATTTATTATTTATGAATTTTGCTGTAGGAATGATTTCAGATTAAGTCATTTGAGAATTTTTTAACATTCCTGGAATTTGATAACATATTAAGGAAGAAAGAATACAAGTTGTTCATATTTTAAAAATTCCATAATTAAAGTTAATTAAAACTTTACACTCTAGAACTTTTAGGACCAAATATGGCATTACTGTTTAGTAATGCTGTCTTAACCTGTATTAAAAAGCAATTTCTGTCATATGTATGTTTAAACATGTTTTGTGTTATTAATGTGGCTAGTGATACAGCATCCATGTTGTACAGTTCACAGCAGTCTGTACTTCTAGCTTTAGGTATACCGGATACTCTGACCTCCATGGACATAGTTATCCTCACTCTTACTCACACAAAATGAATCTTTAAAAAAGAAAGTATTCATATGCTCAATCACATTGAAACAATTTTGTTTTGCTCAGCTATATATTTGTATAAAGTCCAGAAAGTAGAATTTTAAATGTAGGAAACCCAAAGCCTTTGTATATGTCTCTTTTTCCAGGGAAATTATTAAATCAGGTTGTGACATTCAAATCCATGTCAAAACATTGGTTATTAAAATTTTTAACTCTTGCCCAGAGAAAAGATAATTATGCTAGTGTTTGTGATTAAAAGAAAGACCCTTACCTTTGAAAATTCATTTTCAGACATTAAGTTATAATTAAACAGAAAAGATACTTACTATATCTAAAATAAACGTTTATAAACACAAAAATATAGCATCATGCATGATCCAATGGTGACCATGAATGATATTTCTTCCTGATTGAATAACGCTTCCACTGTTTCCAGAGTATACAGAAAATGGACAATGCAGATAATACACCTGAGCCTTCTTAAAGAAGATAAGACATTTTTAGATAAAGAAAAAATTCCAATTTTGTCATTCATTTCCTATTTATATCCCACTGTGCTACCAAATTCAACTTTATTTAAACAAACAAAGCAACATAAAAACAGTGATTCACATAGCTTAGACTGGCCAGGAATTCACTATGTAGCTGATGTTGACCTTGAGATTCTGATACTTGTATTCCTTCCCATACATGTTGAGACTACAGACATGCAAGACCAATTCTGGCTCACATTACCTTTGAGTTCCTTGATGGGAACAAGCTCATTTACATTTTCATGGATTTACTCAAACATTTTCTTACTC